TAAAGTAAACTGTGACATATTACACCCAAAAATTCTTCATACAGTAAAATATGGGATTAAAAACTATTCAGGCATGTTTTGAAGTGTTATTCTTTAATTGCTAATGTGATCTTTTTACACCACAGACTGAACAGAATGAAGCACTGCTTGGTAATTAGTTGAGCTAAATTGGTTTTATCTAATTGTGTTCTTAAATTTAACAGCTGACAGCTATTCAACAGAATTCATTACATACCTTTCTATCAAAGTTATCTGACATTATCAAGATGAGTTTGTTCTGACACAGTTTAACTCTGAGCTCTTCTCATATTTTAGTACCGTTTTCTAAACTATAGCCAATAAACTGTGATATAATGTGAGAAATGTTGAAGCTGTCTGAATACATTTTGGTTTGACTGTATGCATTTTACAGATGGTTTTATTCTAAATGACTTTGAAAAGAGCAATAAATGTTTTAAAAAGTTTATCCACGATAAAAAACGCAATCAGTGAAGCGTTACTGAAATGTCACTGTTTTGGTCAATGTGCAAAATGTTTGCGGATGAAAATTTTCAGTTGCCAAAATTTCAGAGCGTCACTAAGCATTTAATTAGTTTTTGTTCGTTTTGTTTATTATTCTACAATTACAGTATTTTTTTCCTTAAAGTCCATTTTCAAGATTTTAAGTCAAGCTTTTTATTCATTAGTCAAGGTTTCTGCACCAAAACAATCCTAATAAGCTATTTTTCCCATCATCTCTCTGACCCTCACACTGTAAATTCTACCGTACCTTTAAGACTTCTATACGCAAATGACTCTGTAATGATGAGCTAATCGTTCTGCATGTGAAATGAGTAACAAAAAGCCCCTACTAAGTTTCTGAATGTTGATTAGGTTTTGACATGTAAATGTGGGTGCTGCTAAGCGTCAGTGTCCGGCTCAGATGTGTTGTTCTTCTGTTTTCTACAATGCTACGATTCACGAGCGATGTGCAGTGACCCGAGCGCTAGATCTGGAACAGTTTCTCATTCTCTCGCCCCGAATAACCTCATCTGGTCTCCACGGCAACATCATGACGGACAGACATCATCATCATCATCATCATCACAGAGCTGAATATTCTGAATATTGTGTGCAGCATCTGTGTCATAATGACCGTCATCACAGAAAACAATATCTCTTTTACACTAATGCACAAGCTGCTGTGAAAGACTCACACACTTAAGCTGTAAAAACACTCTGACACTGGCAGCCAAAAACAATACAAATATTCAACAACAACACACACACACACATATACACACACACAAACACTCTGATAAATGTGTACTGTGGATGAAAAAGAGGTGACGGCATTGTGTGTGTGTGTGTGTGTGTGTGTGTGTGTGTGTGTGTGTGTGTGTGTGTGTGAAGAGGCTCTTTATCAAGTGGAAAGCTGTGGAAATGAGTGTGTGGGTGGAACAGAGAGGAGAGATAAAGAGAGATTTTTGTTCATACTTTCACAACTTTTTCTCTATTATATTTCATCACGTTCCTGTTAAATCTGTTCTAGGACCCTAAAGGGAGCTCAAACATTTACATTAATACAAAACTTAATCTTGATTAAATTTCTTTATTTTAAATTCAGATATATAATGCCTGTCAAAAGTTTAGAAACAATGATTTTTAAATGTTTCTGAAAGAAGTCTCTTCTGCTCACCGAGGCTGCATTTATTTGATCAGAAATACAGTAAAAATAGTGAAATATTATTACAATTTAAAACAACTGTTTTCTATGTGAATATCTGTTAAACTGTAATGTATTTCTGTGATGCGCAGCTGTATTTTCAGCATCATTCCTCCAGTCTTCAGTGTCACATGATCTTCAGAAATCATAATAATATACTGATTTGCTGCTCGAGAAACATTATTATTATTATCAATGTTGAGAACAGTTTATATGTTTGTGGAAACTGTGACATATTTTGTTTTTCAGGATTCACAGATGAATAGAAAGTTCAAAAGAACAGCATTTTTTTTTAATAGAAACCTTGTGTAACACCATGTCTTTACTGTCACTTTTGATCCATTTAAAGCATTAATTTCTATTCTATTCTATTAGTATTTATGCCTAAAAAAACTTCTGGAGTAAAAAAATGTCAAAGAAAATATACACACACAATGAGTGTAAAATGAATGCGAAGTGTTTCTATATGATCCATGAAAGCAAAATATAGTAGTCAACATTTGAAGTGGATCAAAAAAGTACATGAAAGTTGTCCTAAATTCTTAAATTTTCTATAAAACTAAAATGATTTACCATTTTTTAAACTTAAGCTGATTGCACAATTTATAATGAAACATACATTAGAAAAATCGAAAGAATCATTTTCACCGTTGTTGTTTTCACTGTACATTCAGTGTCTCTAATGCCTCCACAATAAAACTTCTTTACAACATCAATATAAAGCTACGAGTCTGAATCTATAATCTTCACAGAGTAAATACAGTTAGAAATGAAAGACAGGAACCTCAAACCTTTACATTTAAAGTCAAAATGAAACACTCTTTTGTTTAGTTTTTTACTTCTGTAATAAGGATCTTTAACTGGGAATTCAATGTAAAGTGGGACTTGGTTTTATCCGTCACTGAACGACTGGATGCTGAAAAGTGATTTAAGACAAACTTTTGTCTTTAGAATAATAACATGCTGCTGAATCGATCACAATAAGACCAGGAACATGAATTAAGAAAGTAAAAAGACTCAAAGTTCAGTTCACGTTGACTTTAAACACGCTGGTGGATGCAAAGCTCCTCTAACTTATCAAATGAACACGAGAAGAGCAAAGCGAGCGAGACAGAGGTATAGTTTCAGAAACGTGAGCAGCAGCGACTAAAATAGACTCAGAGACACAGATGATTAATTCTCTCTGCTGATACCAGCTTTGTTTGGAATTCTGCTGAGAATAAAGTTAAGAACAGAAACACACCTGACACAATAAAACACACACACAAACACACACACACTCACACTCATAACACACACTCATACACTCATACACACACACACACACACTCACACACACACACACACACTCATACACACAAACACTCATACACACATCGATGCACCGATACCACTTTTTCCAGTACTCGCCCGATAACAGACTTCTATTGTTTTCTATCAGGTCAATGATCTCCTAACCCGACCCTAAACCAACCCACACAGAAATCATTAGGTTTACAGACAAACATCACCCAGAACATTTATGAGCCTTTTAACTACAATGCATCAGATGTCTTTACAAGACACCTGTCATGATGTTTCATGTCTTGACAAACCTGTACAATAAACTACACACTCATACACACACACACACTCACACACACACACACACACACACACACACACACACACACACACACTCACAAACACACATACACACACATACACACACTCACACACTCATGCACACACACTCACACACACACACACACACACTCACACACTCATGCACACACACACACTCACAAACACACACACACACACACTCACACTCACACTCACACTTTTATGGGGACATTCCATAGGCGTAATGGTTTTTATACTGTACAAACTGTATGTGCTATTGCCCTACACCAACCCTACCCCTAAACCTACCCCTTACAGGAAACTTTGTGCATTTTTACTTTCTCAAAAAAACTCATTCTGTATGATTTATAAGCTTGTTTCCTCATGGGGACCTCAAAAATGTCCCCACAAGGTCAAAATTTACTAGTATTACTATCCTTGTGGGGATATCCATTTGGACTATCCATTTGGTCCCCATAACGTGATAAATACCAGGTACACTCACAAACACACACACACACACACTCACTCACACACACACACTCACACTCACACACTCGTGCACACACACACAATTATTATCCTGCACATGCCTCCTTCTTCCTCTGTGTTGATTACAAATTGGCTATTGAAATAAAATACCAAAATAAAAAAAATAAAAAATAACATATGGAAAAAATAAACTAAACAAAAATGTAAACAAGAATTAGAAATATTTACTTGGCAACTAACTAAAATAAGTTTAAGTAGTAAGATTATTAAACTAAAATTTAAATAAATTAATACATTCAAGCTAAATAAAAATATCTTAAAAATATAAATCAAATAATAATAAATATGACAAAAAAAAAACATTACAAAATGAATAAAGCTAAAATTAAAAATAAAACTGAAAATATAAAAATAAACGCACATACTAAAATGACAAAAGCACATGACAAAATTAATAAAACTGAACTAAAAAGCTAAATAATACAAAATAAAAAATAAAAATAATAGTAATAAAATGACAAAAGCACTTAAAATCCCTCAAACTAAAAAGAAATCAATCTAGATTAAATATTAAAGAAAAAAATAAAAATGACAAAAGTGCATAACAAAATCACTAAAATTAAAATACATTTTATTTATTTTTATTTTAACTAAAATAAAAGCTCATTCAAGACATGAATTCATTCTATAACAGCATATAAACAATACTAAAACAACACATCATCACTGGATTCATATATAATCACTACAGACCAGATGTCATGATTGCTTTGGCTACACACGACTATATTCACAAATGTTCACACATCATCTCTAATATTTCTAAATCACCTCACACCTGCCCCCCTGAGTTTCTCAACAGAGTCTCAAACTGTGCTCAGATTTCACAAGATACTGAAGTCTGCACTCAGAGATCAACACTCACAGTAAAGTACCATGGTATTACTTTGGACACTACCCTGTTTGAAGTAACTTTGAATACAGTATGAATATGTACCACACTAAATATTATCGTAGTAGCCTACTTTATGCACGGAGTAGTAAGTGAGCAAGTGTGTGAAGCCGCTTCTGATCCGGATGTGATATCATAAAGATCTGATTAATGCGCACAACAGACGCGACGCGACCGCAACGCGCGGTTCTCATGCACCGGTGTAGCGTCGCGTCGCGTCTTTGATCAGATCGGTTCGGTACTCACAGTTCGGCCGCCGCCGGGGTCCGGTACTGCTGGCTACGGCAGAGCAGCGAGTGTCCGCACGCCTGACCCATCGCGCATCGCGCCGCACACGCCGGTACCGACAGATCGCTCTGAAGAAGAGGAAGAGGAGGAGGTTTCCTGCTGCCGGTAAGAGAGCGGAGATGAAGCTGATGATGAGCGGAGTCTGTAAATGAGAAAACGGCTCCTTTTTCGGTTTTTTTTTTTTTTTCCAAAAAACGAACAAAGAAAATTCAGCTTAAATTTTCGTTTTTTTGTTCATGAGTGGAAAAATGAACTGACGAGCTGCGCAAAAAATCGCGCGAATATGAACGTGGTTTTGCGCAGCTCGTCAGTGAACAACGGCTCTGTGTAGTTAATGCTGCTCAATGTGAAAGCACGCAGGTGATGGAGATTTACCGCTGATTACAGAACCGGCTTTACTGATGAGATGCGCATTAAATATCGCATGCGATTTATCGTGCAGCCCTACCACGGACTAAGTATTCACCATGAAGCTTACGCTGGTGAGAAAACAGATTTCACAGTAAATGATCTCATTTTCAGCAGTAAGAAAAAAATGCTTTAAAGCTGTTTTGTAGAATATCACAGTTATATATGATATGAGAATAGTAAGGCCTGTAGATAGAGAATATGTGTTATTTAAGAAAAACAGTAAAGCAGGCAGGGTTCACCTTACAGTAGCACTCAACACTGATTACTGTCAGACTTTCAGAATCCTTCATCACTTGAATTAAGATTATAATAATATAATTTTAAAGCACAGCCGCCACAAAACTAGAACTTACCTTGAGATCATTCTGAGGTTAAATACAGATTTAAAACCATAACAAGAAATAGTTTAGTAGCTATGATACGGTTTTGAAATCAAATCTTTGCATAGCTACGAAAGGAAACACTGGCATCTAACAATGCCTTGGAAAAAATAGTTATAATAAATAAAGCATATATAAACCCAGATAGGAATAAAACAGTTATCGAATAAGCACGTCCTAAACTCCTGAAACATTGGTGTCTCATACTTTAGAGCAGCCACTGCAGTTTATGAAGTAAATGTTCTCTGAATATTTTGAAACAAGTAACATTTCAAAAGCATTAAAACGTGTCAGATTTAAAACTTTCCATGAATGATGTATGAATAATGTTTTTGTGCTTGAGAACATTATTAAAGAGCAGGGGCCTCATGTATAAATCTTTGCGTAGATTTCATCCTAAAAGTGAAACATTTTAGTTGGACATTTATCTAACGTAACGTATGCAAAATGATCAAATGGAATGTTCACTTAACATTTACATAACCCTTTTAAATGTTCAGAGAATACGGAGAAATAATGTTTTCATAACTTAATGGGAACGTTAGCAAAGCGTTCTTTGAACATGTTTGTGTTGGCTGGTTTCCGCACACTTAATGATGAGGAGATCGTCACAGAGACTCGATTCTAAAGAGACGCTGCTGTCAGTCACACAAACAAACACAAACACGATCACATGACACACGTCAAACACAACTGCACAAACACTGATACACACACGGCCTGCTGGCACTGCAGCAGAGCATCATGGGAACTGTCGCAGACGGGAAACAGGCCAGAATTCATTTATCAGTCGCCAAAAAGACTGGTGCTAAAAATCATTTTCTGTAAAGCTGAAATAAAATAAATATTGGATGGGGGGGTTGGGGGGGTGACATTTCACATTTTTAAGTTTGAGTAGTAAAATTAAAATAGAAATACTAAAAAACTAATGACAAAGTGCAAAATGAAAATTACTAAAACTGAAAAAAATATAAATAAATTCAAGCTAAACAGAAATCTAAAAAACTAATAAAATGTCAAAAGCACATAATAAAATGACTAAAACTAAAAGGAAACTGAAATGTTAAACTGAATAAATTGGAATATTAAAAAAAAACTACAAAAAATTACAAAAGCACATAATAAAATTACTAAAAAATAAAGCTGAAATAAATTTAAGCTAAATATAAAAAATAAAAAAGCATTTAAAAATGACTAAAACTGAAATAAAAATTCAAGTTGAACAATAAAAATAAAATATAAAAATAACTAATAAAATGTGCAAAGCACATAATATTACTAAAATTAAAATGAAAACTGACAATATAAAAATAAAAGCTTAAAATATTAATCAGTTACTACTAAAATACTAAAATAACACTGAAAAGGATGCACACCATCAGCAGATCCTGACAACCAGGAAATAACACTTTTGTGAATTTAGCATTTTTTCATGTCACTACATTGTAAAAACTGAAAAAAAATAAAAGTTTAGAAAAATGATATTATATTCATATTTTATGATATCTCTGTAGAGTTGAAAAAAAAGACATGAATAGACATGAAAAGGCAAAAACAGTGGGATTTTTGTTTTAATCACAAATCAATTTTTATTTTTTATACCAAACTTTATATAAAGATGATTCTCAACTATGTTATGAAAGATATATAACAGAATAATTTGATATACCATTTATGGTAAAATGGCCATAAACGGGTTTTCCCATGATATACAATGCATCTATAAACTGTATCTAATTTGTGTTTTTGGGGCAACACGTAATGAAAAAAATAAGTGCAATAATGGGAGTAATAATTGGCAAGATTTTCATAATAATATCTAATAGGAACATTGATATATAATTTCTTTCCCTATTCATTTGTTGTGTCTCCCAAAATGCATAATAAACATGCTTTAAGTCCTGATGTCCTCTACAGTGGACAATATGAAATTTATGTCCTGTTTCATAACAGAAAGTCATATTTTGATTTGAAACCCCAACATTTTCCTGAGATATTGATTTATGACAACCAGTCAGATTGAAATGATCATTACAAAATATGATCATATTTGCATAAGGGTGTTAATTTGATCATTAAATTATTGACAAAAAATGGACATCATATCACATCAAAAGATGATCATATGATTTGATTAGTTCTTCACACGGCTTCTATAAGGCTAAAGGTTAAATCAAAGAAATAAAGACATTTCACTTGAATCCAGGGTTTTTAAAATCAAATATAAGAGCTTTTGTTGGATCTGCACAAACAATCTCATAATAAACCAGCTATCTCAGGCTGTGGCACACATTTAACTGCAAAACAGGGTAAAATACTCAAGATGTGTTTTATTCAATATTTACATAGTTACTGAAATCGGGTTATGATCTCAAATATCAATGCACACAAAGTAGAAGTCCATCGATATTGATTTTGCTGATACGATAATGTGTTTAAAGAAAGGCAATAAAAAGATTCTTGTGCCGATACTAATAAAATCTGTCTCAGTCTTTCTTTTCTGTGATGAAGCAGATCAGAGAGAAAATACAAGGGTTTGCATTGAATTAAATACCAGCTTTTAGATGCATAATGAGGGACTTTTAATCAGTAATAGGCCCGAAATACACTGGGACTCTTATTTTGAAATGTCTTTGCTATACTACTCGAACATTAAAATGTGCAAGACTCATATTTATTTTATGAGAGAGAGAGAGAGAGAGAGAGAGAGACATAGAGCGAGAGAGAGAGAGAGAGACATAGAGAGAGAGACATAGAGAGAGAGAGACAGAGAGAGAGAGAGAGAGACAGAGAGAGAGAGACAGAGAGAGAGAGACATAGAGAGAGAGAGAGAGAGAGCATTTAATTTAATTAATTAATTGAGAAAGAGAGTGAGAGAGAGAGAGACATAGAGAGAGAGAGAGAGAGAGAGAGACAT